TTTGTAAAGCTACCAAAAGTGATGCATATCCTATCCACAAATTATTACATGAATATGCTTAAAATTCATGCCATCGCCCTAGTCCCACAAAATGCAAGGTATCCTTGGTTTTTAGGCTATCCACAAGTTGCATGCATCTTTGGTTTCAACACAAGTCACACAAACTTTGATTACTTTGGAGTACCAATATTCAAGGCTAAGTCAAGAGTTCAATATTTACATCCAATAGCAGATAAGGCCTAAACCAAATTAATCACATGAAAAGGAAACATCTTATCTATGATGAGAAGAATTCAACTATTGTTAACTCGATAATCCATAACATGCTAACCATATTCTAACATTAGTGAAATCCACATGTAAACTCTCCCGAATCAACAACAATCAAACATATCTCATGATTCCAACATAATCCAAAATAATTATAATACCAACACCACAACACATTCAACATGAAATCACACAAGTAAGCATGTATCGTCATCAAGTTTCATGTTCATAACAACAACAACACAAACCCTAACTTCCCAACCATGGATTTTTCTCTCAAAGCTAAAATTTAACTATGAACTCACCTCTAGGAAGAAGATGATGATGAAATATTGGAGACGACTTGATGAAGCAAGCTCTTGATCCTTAAGTATTCCAAGCTTTTTTTCTTTCGAAGAAGACGATTGAGAACGGAGAAGACGATTCCAAGCTTAGGGATTTGGAAACGATTGAAGACGATTCCAAGCTTAGGGATTTGGAAACGATTTTGTGAGTTTTCTGAGAATGCAAGATTTTGAAACGATTTTGTGAGTTTTCTGAGAATGCAAGAGTTTTCTGAGAATGCAAGATTTTGTGAGAATGAACGATTTCTTGTTTTAAAAAATTTTAATTGTAAAGAGGGTATGACAGCGCTTTTGAAAAGCGCTTTCGTAACTAAGGCTATACCAGCGCTTTTGAGGATAAAAGCGCTCTTGTACCCCACCCCCTATATCAGCGCTTTTGAAAGCGCTTTCATAAGCCCCCTATAAGAGCGCTTTCAGAAAGCGCTTTCATACCCCCCCACTATAAGAGCGCTTTTCAAATGCGCCTTCGTACCCCAGCCTCTAAGAGCGCTTTCTGAAAGCGCTTTTGTAACCCCCCCCCCCTTTAAGAGCGCTTTTTTAGCGTGTTTTTTTATTTTGTTTTAGCGCAACCTATACCAGCGCTTTTTACAAAAAGCGCTTTAGTAGGGGTGCTGCTAAAAGACAAATTTGGTGTAGTGTGGGCATGTTTTAATTTTTGTTACTAGGGTTCTACACTATGGTTCAACATTTGTGCTCATGGTTGATGATATTTTTTACTCCTAAATGTGGGACTCTAACATCAATATTTAATAACAAGATGGTGTAGTCAACCTCACATCACCAACTTCCTTACTGTAACCGTGTCTTGATTCTATCCAGCCGAGTTGTAATGCACAGTGCAGTAGCACCAGCAATGAGACCCCCTCCTGCCTGAACTAAAACAATCTTTGGCAGACTAGGAGTAGCTTCCTCAGATTTGACATCATCTTCCAAGAATTTGCCAAAGCAACCAGCGAAGATGAAGTGAAATTTGTTGCTCGGTTAATGATAAAATCAACCATTTTAAAAAACTCATCTCAGGCAAAAGTGGTTCAAGCTCTTGATACGTTTTCTCTATTCTTTCCAACTTTCCTCAATTCAACACCGAAATTCTATTATACCCCTGTTTCCAATGCTACATGATGGTTCATGCAACGTTAAAAAGTATGAAGACAACGTTGCTACATGAAAACAGTATGAAACACCTGGGTTGTAGCATGAAATAGTTCTTTAAAAAAAAATCAAACTTGATACAATATTTTAGATGAAATACTACTTTAACTTCTAGAATTAATGGCACTAAAATAGTTTTCTCAGAGATTACATAAACAAGTGTAAACTGAAGCTTTCATGATACTCAAGCATTCCGCTTCACCCTCGCGACAAAACTGAATCTTTAATGATACTAACAACTCTCGTTGATGGAAGCATATTCCTTGACGGCTTTGTATAGTTGCATAGATGTATGTTTATATACTAAAGGAAATTGTTGCTGTAATGTGTGGTTCTGGGCTAACATGAATTTAAGCAAAAGAGATTCCATTAAACATGCAGTTAAATGAATCTGTCTGCATCAGTGTTGTATGAGAGAGAGACTGAACCGGAGAAAGTGGTGGAAATAAGGTTGTAGTGGATTATTTAAGTCGCACATCGATTGGTACACAAAACAAATATGTGTTTATAAATCAAACACACAATTAGATTTTTAGTCTGAATGCTTACCGGGAGAAATTACTTTTTATCATTAAATTTGTAATGTATATTTAATAAAAATAATGTATAATAATATATATTTAATAAATTATAATATAAAAACAGTAAAAATATTTAAAAAAAACATATCGTTAAATTTATAATATATATTTCATAAAAAACTGTATAGTAATATATATTTAATAAATTATAATATAAAAAAGTAAAACTATTAAAAAAAAGTTAAATAAAAAAGTAAAAATAAAAAGTTTAAAAAAAAAAGCCTATATGAATTTTAAAAAAATAATTAAAAAATAATACTTGGACTGTGACGTTGACAATTAAAGATAATCTTTGTTGTAATGTGACAATAAGAGTGTGAAATTTGAAAATTGCAAAGAGGTTTTTAAAAAAAATATTTTTACAGGAATATAATATTAAACTAATATTACAAGAGATATTCTGTATTAACCCATATTTTTATATAATGTAAAAATACAATGTTGATATTTGAATAATGTTATTTTGATACTATAGTGCACACCTCTAACGTATTTATTGTTCATTAATATCGACGAATATTATTTTTTTTAAAAGAAATAAAAATAATTATATTTATAAAAAAAATTTATAACACAAATATAAACTTTATCGTTAATCAATTTTATTATTCTATTAATTATAAAAATATATGTTATTAACCATATATTTTATTTATAATTCATTCTATTTCATTAACAATAATATACTATACATAATATTAACTAAATTTTGATATTAAATTATAAAATATAATAATCAATCTTTACATTTTATTAATTAAATTCTGATATTAAATTATAGATTATATAAATATAATAAATAAAATTGATTAATAAAGTGTAAAGACTGATTATTATATTTTATAATTTAATATCAAAACTTAATTAATATTATGTATTTTATTGATTAATGAAATAATAAAATTAATTAATAAATTAAAAGAAAAATATGTGGTTAATATCATATGTTTTTTGATTAATACAATAATAAAATTGATTAATGACAAAATTTATATTTGTGTTCAAAAATATTTTAAAAATAAAAATATTTTTTTTAAAATTTATTTATTTATTTTTCTTTAAAAAATATTATTAATCGTATTGATAAAGAGTAACTAGTGTCTAGATGTACATTCTAGTATCAAAGTTGTATTACTCTTGATATTTAGATGTCATTAATTATACATGTCACGTAGTATGCAATATTTAAATAGGAAAATACTTTAATACTACTCTCACTATGTTAGTTGTATTTATTTGACCATTTGGTTCCTACTAGGGAATAAAACACCACTATTGTGATAATTTGGAATATGCTATATGCACCTTAACAACCAACCTCCACATCTTTTTGTGAGTTGTGACACTATTTTGGATGAAAAAAATGTGTAATGTGATCCTATGATTAATAAACCATAGCCTCCAATTTCTAATAACAATAGTCCACAGTTTGATCTAAAAAAAGAAAAGAAAAACAATTAATAAATCTCACACAAACACACACTCATAGAGTCCAAGATAGAGTTGGATGGCATAACCTCCCCATGAAATCTACTTCATTCCACACCCTTTATCCCTCATCTTCAAATATCCACCATATTTATGCCACGTGGCATGTCAAATATCCATGCTACACTAACCACAAAGGACCTTTCCTATATCGCTTTTTTTATATTATTTTTAAACAAGTTGCTAATAAAGGTTTAAATATCTAGTGTCATTATTTGTCCTTTATGTATTTTCTTGAAGAAGAAAATTCTAAAAAGACAACTATATCCTTTTACAATGGACTAACACCACTCAAGTTCCTGTTTTTCTAAGAACACTACAAGCACTTCCACATTATTTGTCACAAAAACTAGGGGTAGTCACAGAAACACAAACATAAACAATAAATAAACAAATTGGTTAACAGCCATTTTTTAGTGTGTAAAGTGTTATCAATATAGTATATTTGAATATATTAAAAAAATTTAAAAAATATTTATTTTTCTAATTATTTTTATTAATTAATTTACTCTTTGAATATATTTTTTATTAATCAATTTAGTACATAAAATTATAATTAAAAATTTACTGAAAATATATTTGTAATGTTTTAAAAAAATTATTAATTTATAATATTAATAATTTATTTACATTAATACATAAATATAAATAAATATTAACAGTTAAAAATCAGAATTTAGACTATTAAATTTACATCTATTTAACTCGATTAAGATATATCAAATTTTTTATAGCTATAAAAAAAGATATATCAATTTTTATATCTAATTAAAAAAATTTCATTACACATTTGTTACATTAAAACTGAAAAAAAAAATTCATAGATTTTATTTTATCACGGTTGAATTACCAATTCACTATTAAACTCTGATTAATTAAATAATTTATACAATACTTTTCGAAGTTAAAAATGGCAACAGGGACTAAAATAATTATTCATTTTATTTAAAAAAGCTCTTGTTTTCACTATTTTTATTTTCCTGCTAACTCCCTTTGTTTTGGTTTTAAATTCCACCTCATATATTTTATGTGTTCCAAACTTTTTCTTAGAATAAATGTCCCTTATCATATTAATCCTTTATCCATCATAAACTCATTTCTTCTTCAAAATTTTCTTTAACTTAGAAAGAGAGAGAGAGAGAGAAAAAGAAATCTCTCAGAAACAATGGCAGCTTGCACTGTCTACTCAACACAATCTCTAAGAACAAACATCTCAATCCCAACATCATCAAAAACAAACGTTGGATTCCATCAAAAACAAGTTCTTTTCTTCACAACAAACAAGAGCCACAACAACAGAAGAACAAACAGCAACAAAAGATACTTGATAACATGTGGAGCAGGTGACTCACAGACAATTGTGATAGGTCTAGCAGCTGATTCAGGTTGTGGAAAAAGCACTTTCATGAGAAGACTCACAAGTGTTTTTGGAGGAGCAGCAGAGCCACCAAAAGGTGGTAATCCTGACTCAAACACACTTATAAGTGACACAACAACTGTGATATGTTTGGATGATTATCATTCTTTGGATAGAACTGGTAGAAAAGAGAAAGGTGTTACTGCACTTGATCCAAGAGCTAATGACTTTGATCTTATGTATGAACAAGTTAAAGCTATTAAAGATGGAAAATCTGTTCAAAAACCTATTTATAATCATGTTACTGGTCTTTTAGATGCTCCTGAGCTTATTAAACCTCCCAAAATCTTAGTCATTGAAGGTCTTCATCCAATGTAAGTATCTCTATAAAAAACTTTCTAATGTTTTTTTTTTTGTGTTGTTGCTATATTTAAGAAACATTAGTCATTAGTTGTTTTTCTTGTGAATCTCGAGAATCGTGATGTGAGGATGTTATAGTTTTTTTGATATACCTTATCTATTTTTTATGATTGTGTGGCCAAGGAATTTGCTAGTGAGTTTGTTACCTTTCACTATATATGGTGGGCCAACATGCATATATGGGTCCAATATTATAACTATATAGTAAAATAATGTGCCATATCATATGTTGCTTTTAAATTTAATTATGTAGCTTTTTATTAGCTTATAATTTGATTATTAATTTGAGATTTTTTATTGCATGCAGGTATGATTCTAGAGTTAGAGAACTCTTGGACTTCAGTATTTACTTAGACATTAGTAATGAGGTGAAGTTTGCTTGGAAAATTCAGGTAGTTAAGACATATAATTCATGAGTTAAAAATGTAAAATTCAAAGGTTAATTTGTCATGATGATTCTCATTCATTATGGATTAACAATTATTTGACAAACATTTCAGAGAGACATGGCAGAACGTGGACACAGTCTTGAAAGTATCAAGGCTAGCATTGAAGCTAGAAAGCCTGATTTTGAAGCTTATATTGGTAATAATCAATTAAGATTACAACTCAATTGTTCTCTAATTCTTTTTGTCTTAAACAATTTACGACAAAATTACAAACATATTAATTTTTTGAGCAAAACAATATGAATCAAATCAAATATATGCTTGGTGCACGACATTGATCCTTGTCTGAAAATGACACGAAACATGTAGTGTCTAAGTCTCAGTGTCATGTGTGAGTGCTTCATATGCACGAGTTGATTAACTAGTGCACTTGCTATTTTCAGATCCACAAAAGCAATTCGCAGATGCAGTGATAGAAGTGTTACCAACCCAACTCATCCCCGATGATAACGAGGGAAAGATTTTACGAGTAAGGTTGATACAGAAAGAGGGTGTGAAATACTTTAGCCCAGTTTACTTGTTCGACGAAGGTTCAACCATTTCATGGATACCATGTGGAAGAAAACTCACATGCTCTTACCCCGGAATCAAATTTTTCTATGGACCAGAAACTTACAAAGGAAACGAGGTATATATCGATCAACAACTCGTCTATTGTTCAAAATAATATATTAACTTTTTTGTTTTCGATATTCTTATTTTTTCCAATAATATCTCTGCGAAATAGGTGTCAGTTGTGGAAATGGATGGACAATTTGACAGACTAGATGAACTAATATATGTTGAGAGCCATTTAAGCAACTTATCATCCAAATTCTATGGAGAAGTTACTCAACAAATGTTGAAGCATGCTGATTTTCCTGGTAGCAACAATGGAACAGGTCTCTTCCAAACCATAGTTGGTTTGAAGATAAGAGATTTGTTTGAGCAGATAGTAGCAAGCAGGGCTGAGACTCCCGTAGGAGCTGCTAAAGCTTAGGAAGAATTTGCCTTATATACATAATATTGGAAAAGGCGGTAATTGATTTTATTATAAAAATATAATTTCTTACTTTTGTGTTTTTCACAATTCCTGTATTGTATTGTATGTTGTTTTGTGTATCAAAAAACTTTGCTTGTATTTATTTATGCAATGTAATATGTTGTTACTTATAATATAGAGGAGGAGAAACAGGACTGAAATTTCAGTTATGTTTGTGTCCATTTGCATCTAGAATCTGGTCTTGCATTCTTTCTGCCATCATTAATTGCATACTTGTGATTTTAAAAGCTTTTTGTATCAACCTTCATCTCCCTAAAAGCCCTTTGATCAAAGTAGTAATTTGGCATACACCAACCACTTCTTGGATAGAGTGCAATGTTAATGAATCTAGTTTATGTGGTTTTATGGTTTTAATGATGTTAAAGGGGGAACAAAGTAGGATATTAAAAACATCATTACCATTGAAGAAGAAAGAATAACTTAGATTAGAAAGCCAAAAATTTCTGATGATTCACTTAAAATATCAAATGTAGAGAAAAACAACATCAAGAAACTGACCTTACTAACGGCTAAAAGCTCGCCATTTCATATAAACCTCAAGTTGTATATCTTTTTAGGGTCAATTATATCAAATAAATAGATTACACTCCAAGAATTTAAATCATGCATAGACACACTTACAAAATATTTTTCAAAATTTCATCTCTTTTCAACTTTTTCTAAAAAATTATTTGGAATTAGCCAAAGTCTTTTCAAACTAAGCATAATCTATTATGAAGTGTTTGTAATAAATTATGAAGTAGAATTTGGCCCATAATTGATTATGGTGGTAATGCAATCGATTATGATGTCTTGTTTAATAATTAGTTATAAATATTCAATAATTAATTATGGTTCGGATCTAACAAAACTTTCCTTTTTTTTTCTTCTTCTTATGCATAACCAATTATTATCGTAGCATAATCAATTATGGGATGGATTGGAGTTATTCAAGTGCCCAAATTTTCATAAATTTTTTACTATAAAGAAGGTCACGTGAACATTTGAAAACACTCAAGTTTTTAGGAAAAATTTAATTTCCTCTACTCTCACCTTACCCCTAAAATTTCCATATACATATCTTATATTTTTATTGTTGAGAGAATAATCTATTTAAGTATCCACTTATGTAATTTATCAGTTGTAATTTTTTATATGCAAATGCAAAATCAAGAGACGATTAAACTCATATAATATAAAGGTTGTGAGTTGAACTTGAAATTAAAATTTAGGAAAAGAGATTTTGGATTAAATATGTGATAAAAGTTTAAGTTGATAGTGAAAATCTCCTATTCTTGATGATTAAACATATGTCTCGTGATTTTGAGTTGAACCATGATAAATTTAATGTGTTCTTTTCTTATCTCTTAACTTTTTATTTTATTTTATTATACTTTTTAATTAGTTTTCTTCTTATTTATCTAATCTCTTATTAAAATCAACAAAAAATATTTTATTTATTTAAGTTTAAAATCCTTTCATATATTATTTAAGATGACTTCAAACTATTTATTAAACAAACTTTTATTTTTCAATGGTGAAGTGTATATTTATTAGAAAGAAAAAATGAATTTTTTTATTGAAGGAATAAATTGTGATGTTTAAAACCTTGTAAATAATGACCTTTTTGTTTCTACACGTTAAACTAATGATTTGGCAGAAAAGAAATCTAAAAATTTATGGACTAATGAGAATAAAGAAAAAAAATAGTATAATTTGAAAGTTAAAATTATCATCAATATTATTTTAAGTTTTAATGAATTTTTTCGAAGATCAAGTGGTAAATAAATGTGAGACCCCTTTTAAATTGTTTATGAATGTACAATCGAGTTTAAAAAAATTAAGATAAATATCTTAGCCCATAATATGAATTGTTTAAAATGAAACTTAAAGAAGATATTAAAAATATGATGAAAAAAATGTTTCATTCAAATAGAAAATCACTTAAGAACTCTAGATAAGACTTTTCAAAATGAAGATTAAATTAACATAATCCTTAGATGCTTAAATAGCACTAGACAACTTAAAGCTGCAGTGAATTCTAAATCTAAAGACTTCTATTCTAAAAATTTGGATACTCTATTTGATAAAATGCAATCACATGGAATTGAACTAAATTATACGGTTGAAAGACAAGAAGGTGATAGGAAAAAGAAATCACTTTGTAACACGGTGGAAGAACTGACTTGGGTGTTTTGCGTTTGATCGCAATTGTTGCAGTTAGCAAGAGTCGCCATCGACTTTTCTTTTATCCAATAAGGAAAGATTGAAAAGAACAGGAAAGACCTTTCGAAATTATTTCTTAAGTTCGGGGGGTAGGTTATGAAAAGGGAAGGTGTTAGCACCCTTTTCATCCGTAGTTATCTATGGGCTCTTAATTGCTTGCTAGATCACTTGCTTTTTGTTTGAAAATGTGTTTGGTGGTGTGGATTTTGAAAGTATTTTGAAAAGGAATGTCCTTGTAATGGTTCTCGTCTCTATAAGAACGCGTATAAAGTGTTTTGTCTTTTGAAAAATGTTTCAAAGTGAAAGTGTGGGTGTATAAAATATTTTTGTTGTGAGCAAGCGAGCAACTAGGAGCAACCTACCTACTCAAAAGGTCTTAAATGTTATTTTCCTCCTCCTTTAGATGTTGTTATCTCACCATTGTTTTGGTAAGAAACTCCATCTTGGATGTGAAGGGACGAACGCGAGATATTTTGTATAGTCATTGAAGGAAACTTATGAGATGTTTTAGCAATGTCGTTTAGGGACTAGATCATTTACCGAAGACAACATTGAGGATCATCGAGGGACTACGATCTTTTATCGAGGGTATTTGCTAAAACGCCCATATTCGAGGGACATAATTATTTTCCGAAAGACAACAAAGTGGGATTACCCTAAGAGTGCGAGTGTGAATGATGTGTTTGATTTACATGCATTTAGTCTTGATTAGAGTTATCTATTTGTTGATTTTATGTCTTGCCATACAAACTCTAATTACTAGTATTTATATTTGAAAGTGATAAATTGCAGAAATGTAAAGTCCTACGCTATTACATGATTTATAGATGGGGGTACAAATTTACAAATGGGGGGTTGCAAGAATTTTAAATCCTTATTATCTATTACAACCATATTGAATTGTACAATACAAGAAAAGGAAAGGACTTGTTTTGAAAATGATTTTTTTGTCTTAATAAATTAAAGGAAAATAATTATTAATAAAAGAAAATATTTTTTTATGACTTTTTATATTAATAAAAATAGTACTAATGCTAAAAATAATAAAAATAAGAGAGAAAAAGGAAAAATAATGAGAAATAGGATCAACATGTTGCTGAAAATAAAATAAAGGGGACCAGGAGTTCTGATGCTAGGAGCGTTGTGGTTCAGAAAGAAACGTCAGAGGAAATCAGAAGTCCGGGGTTGATGCACGCTGAGGTCCTGAAAGAAACATTAGATGAAAGAATAGAAGTTCTAGGTTGCTACGCGCTGAAGTTCTGAGTGTTAGAACAGTGAGAAAATCCTAGAAGTTGTGTATGTTAAAACAGTAAGAAAGCCTAGAAGTTCTGTGTGTTAAAATAGTAAGGAGAATTCAGAAGTTCTGTGTTAAAACAATAAGACAACCTAGAGATTCTGGTGATGTGTCATAACAATGTGAAAACCTAGAAGTTCTGGTGTGTTAAAATAGTGAGGAGAACTCAAAAGTTCTGTGTTGTGCTAAAACAGTGGGAAAGAAAACCCAGAAGTTATGTGTTACACTTTACCTCCTTCCTTACACTAGTCAGAACATCTATAATTTATTCAGTTCTTAACAACAGCAAATCAGAAAGATAAAAGCACAATAGTTTATAGAAGTTATAATCCTAATTATGAGTCTAGCTTTATTCAAGAAGTTCTTATCCACAATTTTTCTACTTATGCAATGATATGGACAACATTAACACTATGATATTTACATATTTAATGATGTTCTGAATGAAAAATTCAAAGTCAGAAAGAATTACCTTGAATCTGAAGCGTGTGTTTGGGACTTGAGTCGTTGCCTTCAGATGTTCTGGGGTTAGCAAGGAACGGAACAGAACGTTATGTTCTTTGATTCAAAGGGAAGAACAAAGGTTTGGTTTTGTTTGGGAATTCTGGGTTTACGAATGTTTGACTGTTTTCTTTTCTCTCATTGATAATTCTCTCTTTCTAAAAGCCAGCCACTTGAACGTGTGATGGAGCAACTTATTTATAGATGGGTTTGCTATGGTTTTGGGAGGAAAAACAAATGGAATTTTAAACCTTTTTGCATACTGTTCCATTGCTTTTTAAACACAGCTTTTGTATACTAATTTGATGCAATTATGAGGTTTGAGAAAAATGCAGGCGTGGACTGGATCAGCAACAATTTAGAGCGTTGTGGCAGCTGGATACAGGACTGTGCTATAGCAGTGCAGCAGACTGTTCAAACGAGGTTTTGGGACTTGGTGATGTTCTGAATGAAGAAAAACAACATGGGATTCGAAGGGTGGTGTTCTGATCGAAGTGTAGAACATAGTCTCTATATGTTGAAGAATCATGTTCTGGTTGAAGAACACAATTTCCATATGTTCTGATTGAAGAGTCATGTTCTGAACCATGTTTGCAAATTCTGATTGCACTTGTGTGAAGGCTGGCCCAGAAGTTCTGAAGTATCATATTCTCTTAACACTTAGAAAATTTTCTAAGTGTTTAGAAATTTGATTTTTCAAAGTACTTTCTGACTTCTGATTTTTTGACGAACCAATTTCATATCCTGATGAAATATGATTGTTGAAACTTGACTTTTGATCCAAAATTCAAAGTTTGATTTTTGAGTGTGCTTTTGACCATTTTTCTCTTGTGAAAGACTTTCTTAGAAAACTGTAATATGAGACTTGAAACTTTGACAGAAGCAATCCTGGGGGTCTAAGATGATCCTTTGAGAAATGAGAGGGTAAATTTTGGGG